CCCAAAACATAATGAAGAATGGAATTGAGGTTGATACTGCTCACTTGCGTCTTCTGTGCCAAGAATTCAGAGATATAGAAGGAAAATATGACATTGCAATGGAATTGGTGAACAATCCTCAAACTCAGAAAACCCTCATTCGATTTAAACCAAAAAACGTAGGCTTAGACCTCACTGCACATGCTTATGAAGATTTCATTGAGGTCTTTCAGATGCTCTTACCTCAGATTGTCAAAGAGGTTATTTCATTGAAACCGTTAAACCAAGAGACAAAGTATTGGCCTGAAAGGGCATTCCTTGAAGAATTTGAAAGAAAGCACCCCTATGTAAGCTTGGAATGGAATGAACAGGAACTGATATTGACTGGTTTGGCTAAGTACCTTATAGAAGCAGTGAAATATGTTAAGAGATATTTTGATACCGAAGGTACTGCTCAGCAGAGACAAGGGCGACTACTTCCCTCCCATGCAGGGAACTGGAGTAGAGAGCTCTTATCCCCCTTGGACAGATATGCTGAGGATTTCAAGATGGCTTTACCTGTCATCAAGGGATTGCCTAGCTATGGGGGCTCAAGAAAAGAGGAGAAAGAGGAAGAGGAGGAGTGTGTGATTTGTATGGAAGCCATTCGCCAGAAAGAAGTCCTCCCAAAGTGCAAGCATGAGTTCTGTGGCCCTTGTATCAGAGAGGCCATGAAACATAAGCCAGTGTGCCCTGTGTGCCAGACTTCCTATGGCATCGTGAAAGGGAATCAGCCAGATGGAACAATGACAACCTCTTACAGAACGTCTTCACTTCCGGGTTATAATTCCTATGGCACTATTGTGATTCATTATGACATGCGGGGAGGCATACAGACAGAAGAGCATCCCAACCCAGGAAAACGCTATGAAGGAACAAGACGGGTGGCATACTTGCCAAATAATGAAGAAGGACGGCAGGTTTTGCTTCTCCTCAGAAGGGCTTTTGACCAAAGGCTGATTTTCACAGTAGGACAGTCCCGGACATCAGGAGTCAAGGATGTGATCACTTGGAATGATATTCACCACAAAACTCTCCAGTTTGGTGGGCCAGAAAACTTTGGTTACCCTGATCCTGGCTATCTACAACGAGTCAAGCTGGAACTGAAGGCTAAAGGAATTGAGTAAGAGTGCTGATGTCAAGGATGTCTCCAGAGCTGGGCTTGCAAAAGCTATAGCTGTGGAAAGGAATCAAAGGAATCATAAAATATATGTATGTATAGAGAACATTTAGAGAGAAATAAAAGAACTTAAGAAGAAATTAGTTTGCCTTTAGGGGAGAGAGGGATGAACTGCTACCTGTTAGCCTATCTAATTTCTTGGAGATTTTACTTTTTATTAGACAAACTGAGAGCCTCGTGGGAATATCAAAGTTGTTCTGGTTAGAACCCAAAGTGTATCTCTCACTGCTTTCCTGCCTGTCTCCAGTTTTGCTGTCACCAGGGATGCTGGAGTTAAGGAATTTTCCATTTTACCACTTGTACAAGACGATGACTGACCCTTGGGTCCATTCACATTATTTGTCGTGAGCTGTTGGTGGCCTCAGAACTGATCAGAGCTTACTTCCTTCTAACTGGAATGGTAGCCAGGAGCATTAAAAAGTTTAGAAGACATCATGAAGAAGATTACAGTCTCCAAATAATTACATGAGTCCTTCACTTCAGAAAGAAACTATCCATCCTTGGGTCTCTGGCAAATTTAATGTAAATTAAGGAGTGGGAAAAGATATTTCTGTCTTCAATCCATTCCAGTGACTTCCAATCACTTTCAAGAACAAATAAAAAAGCCTCTGTTTGGCATTCAAAGCCCTTCATAACCTTGCCCCTCCTTTTCTTTCCCCACTATATACTCTGTGATTACGTGATACTGGCCTCTTTGGTGTTCCTTGAACAAGAAACTCCATCTTTCCAGATTTGCATTTTCACTGGATATCTACCATACTTGGAATTCTTTTCCTCTGCATTTCCACTGACCGGCTTCCCTGACTTCTTTCAAGTCCTACCTAAAATCCCACCTTCTACATGAAGTCTTTCCCAAAACCCTTAATACTAGTGCTTTTCCTGTGTGGATTATTTCCAATTTGTCCTGTATGTAGCTTGTTTGTATACAGTTGTTTGCATATTGTCTTCCCCTTTAGAACATGAGCTACTTGAGAGTGGAGACTGTCTTTTGCCTTCTTTTGTATCCCCAGCACTTAGCATAGTGCCTAGAATATAGTAGGCACTTAAATTCTTATTCACTAACTGATTGACTATGGGCAGGCTGATTGACCTGGGAATTAGAGTTTCCACATTAACAGGCAACTGGCATTGGCTTGTTTGCTTCCCTGGTTCTCTGCATTCCTAGATCAACTTTTGGGGTGCACCTTATGACAATTGCTCTGTTTGACTAGTTTTAGTGAGACCACATTCATACTCAAATATTTTCTGACTTTTAAATTCCACAAAATTGTTTGCTCAAGTTTATGTTGTTCTGGGTACCCCCTCAAAAGTGTAGTTGTGGGACAACATGAAATGTCCCTTCATCTCGGAATCAATCCATCTTTGGTATTGGCTATAAAAACTAAGCAGAAATATTCATTAGGAGCTTATATTCTGTATCCTGTGGCATTGCTTGGAGAATGAAAGAGAACCTTTGATACAGAGAGGTTTCTTTTCCAGTTACAAACATCTTATTGGTGATAATGCAACATCCTGTTGCCCCAGTGCAAAAGTTTAAGTATTGTAGCTCAAGTGATCTTTAGTTGGTTCTTCTCTAAATAATTAAATCATTTGCATCTGACTCTGTTTATGTTAGGGGAGACATTATTTAATAGCTGTGTCAGATACTTCTAATAAAGTGAAACTGTGTAATGATCATAAAAAAAAAAGTTATGGTCCGTAAAAGATTTATTATCTATTTCTGTGTCTTTACATTTGTAATATCTCCGTGCCCTAAATTGAAATAGTCAGTTTTTGTAAAAGTTCCACGTGCTACTGTGAAATGTGTATATTCTTTTGCAGTCCAATTTAGAAGATGCCAGAAGTCTTTCTGGTCTAGTTTCTCTAGCAATTTGTTGAGTTCTTTATTTTTGTTTTGTTTAAATTTCTATTAAAATCATTCCAAACTGAAAGAGAGACATTGATGATTTAGTATGTGAACAAGTTCATCTATACTCTTATCTTTTTATGAGGTACAAATCAGCAATTCCCTCATGTGAGCCAGAAGGATGCTTGAGTCTCAAGTGTGGAGAATGCAGGAGCCAAAATTATTGGGGACCCAATCACAGGCTGAAGGCTGGGAAGGTATAATGAATTAAGGTGAAACCTTTGGTGGAATAAACAACTTCCTACAAATGTCTAGAAAAGATAGGTAAATCACAGGAATGCTTAATTTGAAGAAACCAGATACACAGGTTAACTTTATCTAATTTTCCTTCTTTTCTTACCAGTAAAATTGGGTACTACATGGGCACTGCCTCTTTTTGGTAAGTCCTTATTTCTCTAAGTCTTCAATTACTGACTTTATCCCTTCAATCTGAACTTTGGTCAGAGGGTATTGCTTGATGCATGGCCATGGCTTATCCTTGGATAACTGATCATAATGGGTTCAATTCCTTTTATCAAGCCAGAGTCATTCCTAGACTGGGCCCCCAATATAGATTAAGTTTCCTTTATTTAGGATTGGTTTTCCAGCCTGGGGTGAAACTGCCACTTTCCTTCACCATCTTCCTGAACCTGAAGCCACATAGTACCTAAATCAGCCTTTTCCTACTGGAGTTTCAAAAACACCCCCTCTGGGGTACAGAATAAATAAGATATATATCATAATTTACACTGATTGTCTCTTCCCACCAGATCAACAGGCAAATCAAGTGATAGCAAAAAAACGTGATTTTCAACTAAAGGTCCTATTTGAACAGAAGGTTTGGAAAGAGTTTTTAGCTGTCTTACCTCTTCTTCCATTTTCTTCAATTTTCTCTTCTGACTATTGAAATCATTTTTAAGTTTTTTGGAGGCATAATACCCACTTCAAAGATACCAGTAATCCCTTTGCTTTTGATACAGTGTTTCTGAAAATCCCACTGATTATGCTAACTTACCTACTACAAATGAACCTTCTTGTAGCCACTATAAATGTGGCTTTTCATAAATAGAAACATTTCACACATGACAGAAAGATATTAACCTCTTGAGATAGAGACCTGCCATCAATGAACAAAGCTTCCCGTATTTCTGCCCCATTTTAGCCAGTAGAGATCCAGACAGGATCTTTTCAGAGCCTGCACTACACATTTTCTAATTTATAATACCTAGTCTCCAATTTCTTCACATCTCTTTATTCCCCAAGGCATTGGTTGGAGTTTACTCACAATTCCTTCAGTGCCTGAGAATCCTGCCCAGTCAGCCAAATTTTCAGGTTGGAATCAACTTATGTGGAGACAATTCTTGAAATGAAATAAAATGTTTGAAAAGAGGAAAATAGTATAATTCAGACTATATGCATATAGGCAGTCTGCTATCAATCGGTCAACATTATGCAACTACTGTGTACCAAGCACTGTGCTAAACACTGGGAATGCAATAAGAGGCAAAAGACAATCCTTGCCCTCAAGGAGCTTACAATCTAATGGGGAAGACAACATGCAAAACACATAAATTATATACATATATATATGTACATATATATGTGTGTGTATATATATATGTGTGTGTGTGTATGTGTGTATGTGTATATACAGAATAAATAGTAACTACTTAAGAATGAAAGAACTAGAATTAAGAGAGGCTGGGAAGTCTTCCTGTAAAAGATGGGATTTTAGTTGAGACCTAAAGGGGAATTCAGTAGGTGGAGTTAAGGAAGTCCCAACATTAGGGGCAGCCACAAAAAATGCCCACAACTGGTATGTGTATTTGTGGAAGGAGACCAGTGTGACTGAATCAAAGAGTACACGTAGGGGATTGAGGTGTAAGAAGACTAGAAAGGTAGAAGGTGAGTAGGAAATGAAGGGCTTAGAATGCCAAACAGAGCATTTCATATTTGCTCCTGGAGGCAATAGGGAGCCTCTAGGAGTTGTCGGGGGAGTTGAGGATTAGGTGGTGACATGATGGGACCTGATCTTTAGGAGAATCAATTTGGTGAATGGAGGATGGATTGGAGTTGGGAGAAACTTGAAATAGGCAGACCCACCAGCAGGCTACCATAGTAGTCCAGGCATGGGGTGATGAAGGCCTGCACCAGAGTGGTGGCTCTGTCAGCGAAGAGAAAGAGATATTCAAGAGATATTACACAGATGGGAGATGAAATGATTTGAAATAAAGGGAAATTTGTTGCCTATGGAACAGGTATTCCACAAGGAGCATTGGAAAGATTGGGTGGTGTGAGAGTTACTTAGGGGTGAGAGGGTTGGGGGGATGGGAAAAAGTAATTGGCTGGTAGGGGGGGTGGAATGTGGTTTGGATGATGATCTTCAGGGGCTCACACTCACTAAGATGAGAAGGGTATGTCCAGGTGTGAGAATATTCACCATTAAATGGAGGGCACCACTCTTCTTCCCAATGGAGGCTGGAGATAGGGCTGGAGAAAAGTGCAGTATGAGATGGGAGGCATACATTCGGACAGTCAGATGGGAAACCCTGCTTCCCTAGTCCTCTTCCCTCTGAACGGTAGAGACTAGGCAGGAAAAGATTACAGCAAGAGGTGAAAGTCAAATCTGTGCAGTAATAAACAGAGTCAGAAGTTCCATTCCCCACCAATTTTCCTCTTCCCTCAAGAGACAGGCACAGCAGGAGATGAAGACGTGAAGTGAAAAGGTAGGTTGCTCCTCTTTGCATCAGAGATTCTCCAGATCTTGGTTGGGAGATCGGGCTGGCAGTAGGAGATAGAAGTTGCCTTGTGCTTGTACATATGGAAGTTGTTGGTTTGGGGCAGATGGAAGACTCCTCACCTGGCCTCTTGATACTTTCCTGCAGGGGACGTGCTGTGCCCAGAAGGACATGGAAGGCACAAGGCATGGGGTTAGAGGAATGTTAGGCCCCTCTTCTCAATGGAAGAAGCTGGTGAAGAGTGGGTAGCAGGAAGACTGACTCCCACGGAGGGGGAAGTCCTTTGGGGCAGATGGAAGATGCCTGGTCCTTTGCCACCTTCCCTCAAAGGGACACTATGACTACTGTATTTAATTTTCCTCCAAGTAGTTTTTCTTGTTCTTTGTGCTTTTTCATTTCCCTCATTCCTGCATGTGTTGAATATAAGAAGTAAAAATAAACATTACAAGTGGCAAAGGATGTCCTAGGTCTGGGTTGGAGCCAAGGGTCAACCAGGGATCAATTTTTCTTTTTGTCTGAAAATCCTTTTAGGTTAATATTATCCCTACACTTCTTCATCCTTAGGAGTGCTCCCAGGAAGAGCTTAGCAGTCTAATTCCTGTGCACAAATGTCCTATCACAGCTGGCACCGTTATCTTTGAAAAGTGAGTTTCCTTCAGGTTCTCCATCTTTTTTCCTGTGAGTCCCTTAAAGTTAACATGATTTCTCCATTTATGGGTCCTAGGATTATTCCAGTGAAGAGCTTCGCAGTCTCCCTTTCTGGACAAATTTCATTTTGAAAAGATCACTGTTTTTTCAGAAAGGTGAGTTTCTGGAATTGCATTTGCTTAAGAAATTTATAGAGGTTGAGGGTGGGGGCATCAGTCAGGGCAACCCCGGACTGGTGCCTCCTGATGGGCCAATGAAATGGTTCCACTGCCCTCCTGAGGCATTTTTCTTTGTAAGTGCTCCTATGCATCTGTACCAGTAAAAAGAATGACTCACTTCTATAAAGAAAGCTGTACATTTTGGGCCACTTTTGAGCCTCTGAGCAAACTATGAGATTAGTAATTTTCTTATCCCGATGTTGCAGGAGAGAGACCAGAGGATAACACAGGATAAGTAACTTGGTTACCTTGACAGGTCTGGTAAGTGGATGAGTTGGGAGGTAAAGTCTAGGCTTCCTGACCCTGCAGGTCAGGTTGTGACCACCAAGCAGTTTGGAATGCTGCCTGTCAAGCATCGTTTTCCCTTCCCTGCCACATATGTATTCGTTCTTGCCATGCTTCACTTCCCTAAAAATTCATGGTCCACATAGCTAGAACTATAGGTCTTTTCAAACGCCCTCTATTTGGAAGCCCCTTATGAGACAACTGAGAAAAGTGAGGCCCTTATCAAAAGAATGTGTCTGATATATGTATTAGATCCCCTGCTTGGCTGACTCCAGATGCTGGCCACTGGACCACTGCATTGAGTGTGCCTCTTTCTCACTCACATTTTATTCTTTCTTATCATTCCCATTCCAGGTGTGCCAGGTTTTTTCCTTTCTGTTCAGGATTAATCACAATAAGAACAGCAACAAAAAGTGCCATAATAATAATTTCAACTACCCAATCAGAAATGAACACAGCAAATGTCATTGAAGGAGTGTGTATGTTATCTCCTTTGACCCAGCAGCAGACCTCTGATTCCGATGCTCTTTGTAGTCCAATTGACAGAGGAATTAAATGATGCTAAGACATGGGAAGTTACTCAGGCCAGGAGGAAACACTTCATATGTGGCTGAGGTGGGATTGCTAGTCGGGCCTTCCTGGCTCCAAGTCCAAGACTCTAAGATGTTTGGCCATCTGCCATCATTTTAGTTCCCGTACTTCATTTTTTTTTCACCATGCCATCATCCTTGGCTTACTTGGGTGATCATCTTCTTCAAGACCCCAGGTCCTGATCAGTTGATGCCAAATTGATGGACATGGGCATATGTTTTCCCCTCCTTTTTGTATTTCCCTTATGCCATTTCATTTTCCTTCATCCTACTTGTATTCAGGGGTGGTAAAATAAGTGCACACTTCCAGGGGCAAAAGTTCTTGTAGACTGAGATCATTTTCTGGGGCCTCACCCAAATGTCAGATTCTCCTTCTTTTGGCCTCTTAATGCCTTAAGGTTAACCTCATTTCTCTGTTGATTGGTTTTAGGATTATTCCCAGGAAGACCAATCTACCCCTTGAAAACAAATTTCATATTGACAAGGTCACTGTTTCTTTTCAAAGGTGAGTTTCCAGATTTGTATTTGTTTCAGAAATTTGACTAGGTTAGGTCTGGGGGGAAAAGTCATGGAGCTCCCCTCCCGACAGACCTTTGAGGTAGTTCCCCTGCACTCCTGACGTATCTTTCCTTGGAAGTGTTCATGAACATCTGTAATAAGAAAAAGAAGCCCTCCTTTGTATGAAGCAAGCTCTACTTTTTGTGTGCCTTTTGAGCAGCAAAGCAAACTGTGATATTGGTAGTTTTCTTGCTTTAATTTTATAGGCCAGAGAGCTGAGGATGAGTGAGGTCATGTGACTTGGCCCTCTTGACATGTCTGGTAAGTGGATGAGTTGAGATGTGAAGTCCAGGTTTCCTGACCCTGCAGTTCAGGATGTGGGCTCTTAGTGATTTTGGCCCCTGCTGGTCAGCCATTTGTTTTTCCTCCCCTGCCACATATGTATTCATTCTTGTCATCCTATAGTACCCTAAAAATTCAGAGTCCATAGAGCTAGAAATATAGGCCTTTTCAGGGGCCCTTTGCTTGAAAGCTCCTTGTCAGACAAGTGAGAGATGTGAGGCCCACAGGGTTATGTATCTGATGTATGCATCAGGTCCCCTGCTTGGCTGACTCCAAATGTAGCCCCCTGGACATTACCTTGAGTGTACCTCTACCATGGTCAGATTTGATTCTTCCTTGTCATTTTGCTTCTCTTGACTCCATCAAATGGAGGTAGCAGGAACATAAATTGCAAATAGTTGGGATTTCACAGAGTTGGGACAATGTGCAGGGCTACCCACATAGTCTGTCTTGCCATCTCTTTTCCTTTAAGTACCAGAGGCTTCACTTCATTTCTGGACTTCCCATTCCTAAGACTTTGTTAACCTGGGAGATTTCAGAAGTCACTCTCATGTTCACTATTGCAACTATCCCACTTCTTTTTGAAAGGCGAGTCTCTTTAATTCCTTTTTCTTTAGGGGAAACTGGATGATGATTTCCTTTAGGGGTGGAATTTGGTCTAGCCTCCAAGTTCTGCCTTAATGTGATGGACAAATACCATTCTTGCACTCCAGATGTTTTCCTTTCTGTTCATGATTAATCACAATAACAAATACAGCAGAAATAGCAATAATAATACCTCCAAATACAAAAACAGAAACGACCACCACAAATCTTTTATGGAATACAGTGTATGTATATGTGCTATCTCCTTTAAGCCAACAACAGACCCCTGATTCCCATGCTCTTTGTAGTCCGGTTGGTGGAGAAATTAAATGATGCTAAGTGATGGACTTGAACATATATATTTTTCCCCTCCTTTTTTTGTATTTCCCTTATGCCATTTCATTTTTCTTCATCCTATTTGTATTCAGTGGTGGTAAAATAAGTGCCCGTTTCCAGGGGTAAGAGTTCTTGTAGTCTCAGCTCAGATTCTGAGGCCTTCCCACCATATTAACCTCTCCTTCTTTCGGCCCCTCATTGACTTAAGGTTAACCTCATTTCTCTGTTGATTGGTTCTAGGTTTATTCCCAGGAAGAGCCGAGCAACCTTCCCCTAGTGGACAGATTTCATTTTGACAAGCTCACTGTTTCCTTTTCAAAGGTGAGTTTTCAGATTTGCATGTGTTTTAGAAATTTGAATAGGTTAGGTCTAGGGTCATAAGTCATGGAAAGCCAGGGAGTTTACCTCCTGATGGACTTTTGAAGTAGTTCCCCTGCACTCCTGACATACATTTCCTTGGAAGTGCTCATGCACATCAATAATAAGGAAAAGAAACACTCCCTCGTATGCAGCAAGCTCTACATTTTTTATGCCTATTAAGTCTCAGAGCAAACTGTGAGTTTGGTGGTTTTCTTGCTCTGATTTTGCAGGAGAGAGAGAGCTGAGGAGGAGTGAGGTCACATGACTTACCCCTAGTGACATGTCTGGTAAGTGGATGAGTTGAGATGTGAAGTCCAGGCTTCCTGACCATGCAGGTCACGATGTGGCCTCTTAATGATTTGAGCTGGTTAGCCATTCATTTCTCCCTCTCCTACTACCACATATGTATTCATTCTTACCACCCTACATTACCCTAAAAATTCAGGGTCCACAGAGGCCTTTTCAGGGGTCCTTTCCTTGAAAGCTCCTTATCAGACATGTAAGGGAAGTGAGGCCCACAGGGTTTCAAAGGCCTAATCAATAGAATGCGTCTGATGTATGCATTAGGATCTCTGCTTGGCTGACTCCAAATATTTGTCACTGGACACTGCCCTGAGTGTGCCTCTACCTCAATCATATTTTATTCTTTTTTTGGTTTTCCCATTCTTCTCCCTCCATCAAATGCAGTCAGCAGGACAAACAATTGCAAGTACTTGGGATCCCAGACAGTTGGGATCACGTGCCACACCTCCCATACATTCAATCTTGTCATCTCTTTTCCTCTAAGTCCTTTTGGCTTCACATAATTTCTGCACATTTCCTTCCTAGGAGGGAGATATCCTGGAAGATTTGAGAAGTGGCCCTCTCATTCACAAATGTCCTCAGGTAACCATCCCTCTTCCCTCCTAAATGTAAGTCTCTTCAGTTTTTCCTTTTGTGAAAAATGGATGATGGTTGCCCTTGGAGGTGGCATTTGGCCTTGCCCAAGGGCTCTGCCATAATGTGCTGGACAGATTCCTTTCTTCCACTGCAGCCCTGCCAGATCTTTTCCTTTCTGTTCAGGATCAATCACAATAAGAACAGCAAATATCACTGAAGGAGTACAGTATGTGCATGTTATCTCCTTTGACCCAACAGCAGACCTCTGATTCTGATGCTCTTTTTAGTCCAATTGAAAGAGGAATTAACTGAAGCTAAGACATGGGAAGTTACTCAGGCCAGGAGGACACACCTCCTATGTGGCTGAGGTGGGATTGCTAGTCGGGCCTTCCTGGCTCCAAGTCCAAGGCTCTAAGAGGTTTGGCTGTCTGCCATCGTTTTTGTTCCTGTACTTCATTTCCTTTCACCATGCCATCATCCTTGGCTTGATTGGGTGGTTCACCTTCCCCAAGAATCCAGGTCTTGATCTGTTGACACCAAAGTGATGGACAAGGGCATATATATATTTTTTTCCTCTCCCTTTTTTATTTCCCTTATGTCATTTCATTTTCCTTCATCCTAAATGTACTCAAGGGTGGCAAAATTAGTGGACATTTCCAAGGACAAAAGTTCTTGCAGGCTTAGATCAGATTCTGGAGCCTCCCCCAAATGTCAGATTCATCTTCTTTTGGCCTCTCATTGCCTTAAGGTTAACCTCATTTCTGTTGATTGGTTCTAGGATTATTCCCAGGAAGAGCTGGAATAATGTTCCTCTTGTGGACAAATTTCATTTTGGGGAAGTCACTTTCTTTTCAAAGGTGAGTTTCCAGATTTGTATTTGTTTCAGAAATTTGAATAGGTTAGATCTGGGGGCCTAAGTCAGGGAAAACCAGAGAGTTTCCTCCTGCTGGAGCTTTGAAATAGTTCCCCTGCACTCCTGACACATCTGTCCTTGGAAATGTTCATGCCATCAGTAATAAAAAAAAAAAAAGAAGAAGCACTCCCTTGTATGCAGCAAGCTTTACATTTTGTGTACCTTTTGAGTGTCAGAGCAAACATTGATACTGGTCATTTTTTTGCTCTGATATTGTAGGAGAGAGAGCTGAGAAGGAGTAAGGAAGGTCATGTGAGTTCGCACTCTTGACATGGCTGGTAAGTGGATGAGTTGAGATATGAAGTCTAGGGCTTCTTGACCATGCAGGTCAACCATTCATTTCTTCCCCACTCCCCACCATTACATATGTATTCATTCTTGCCATGACTGACTCACCTAAAAATTCAGTGTCCACATAACTAGAACTACAGAATTTTTCAGGCCCTTTTACTTGACAGACCCTTAACAGACAAGTGAGGAGAGTGAGGCTTTTTGGTTTTGCCAAGGCCTAATTCAATGACTGTGAGTGATATGTGCATTAGACGCTCTGCTTGGGAGACCCCAGATGCGGGCATAAGACAGAGCCATTCCTCCCCATTGGGAGGCTCTATTAAAGGAGGCTTTGTTGGTGGCAGTATCAGCCAGTCTACGGCTTTTGTATTTCCTGCTATCCCTCAAGTGTTAGGTCACCTACTACCTGTTATCTAGGATCTACCAACAATTACGGTGGGGAAGAGATGCAGTGCCTGAATACCCCTTTGCTGATTTGGACATATTGTCTCTCATTATAAAAGTTATCTATAAAAACTGGCTCCATCACTAGTGATCAGCCCGTCAATGTATTGCTAATGGATGTACTTTTAATAAACTCTTTTTAATTGTCTTTTTCCTGAATCTTGCCTCCTCAATCAGGGCAAAAGTCCAAACAAAGAGTTTTTCTTTTAAGAAATGGAGAACCACCTGGAATTTTTGAGGGTTTTCACTTCTGGCCCACTCCACTCCTGGAACCAGCAATCTGCCTGACAGCTGGCCTACCCCAGCAATTAGTTAAGCTGTGAAGTGGCAGAGAATTTAGGTCCACAAAAGCCGGGACAGAAAAAGGAGAAATAAGTTCCCAAATCCAATTTTTTTTCCCTTTGTGCAGGAAGAAGGGAAGGCAGAAGGAAAGGCAAAAGGATCACCAGGAAGAGGCAGGTAAGTAAATGTCCTTGTCTGTATTTGCATGGGAATACCAGTACTCCTAAAAGGAGTGGGAGGAGTGAGCTTTCAGGGTACTCCAGGGTAGACAAATTGTAAAAGCTTGGGGAACATCCTGCCTCATAGGTCCACAACTGAGCAATAAAGATAGGTAAGGGCTGGGGAAATTATTGGGGGGAGGGAAGGGAAAAAAAACCCAATGTATTTTGACCTGATAAAGGATGGGACCTTAGGTATTAAACTTGGTCAGATGCACATTCTAAATATGATTTGAAGATCTCTAGGCTAGGCAAACCAGAGATTTTCAGTGCTTTTAAAAGAGATTTGAAACAATCATTGGGGTAGGTGACTACGTACTAAAAATACCTTTTGGGAAGGCTAAAGTAGAATTTTTAAGTCTTTTAAATGTAAAACATAAAAAAGGGGAATCTCACAATTTCTTACTGTGGCCCAAGAGAAAGGAAAGAAGAAAAAATCAGTAAAGTGAATATTACTTGTATAGATACTCTGGTATATAATTTGTAATGGAAGTGTCTGGTCAGACAATGAAAGAAACAAGACAGGTACAGTTGTGAAGGGCTTTAATCTAAGCTTGAAAGAAATTAAGAGATAAAGTTTAACCAAGTTAGGGATAAGAGGAAATGGGTAGGAAATTAAGAAAAGTTTTAGTTTCTTTTGCACTGATAGTATGAATAGAGGGCTGGAAAGTAAAAGGTTGTGGAAGTTTGAAAATAGAAGTGAAGAAGGATTCAATCTCATTCAGAGAAGGATTATGAAAAATTTTATTTGGTTATTCTTCATGATATAGAAAATATAGAAATATATTTGCGGCATTTAATCACTTCAGATAGCAAACCATTATCAGGATCTTTTTTACTCTTTATGTGAGAAATATGCATTTATGATTTCATTACTGCCTAATAGAGTTATGTTTGCAATTTCTACATTTCAGAAAAGTTTCATTCATCCTAAAAGAGAGGTGAAAATAGAAGACTGTGACTTTAAATCTTTGGCAGTAGACCAACTGAAAGTAACTGGCGCTATAATTTCAAGGGCTAGCACTAAATAGCCCTTAGAAAAATTGAAATTTACACTTTACCATTAGTGACTATAAATCCAGATTTGATTTGGTCCTGAAACTAAATCATCCTGTGGTCTCATTTACAGTGAAATCTGTTCCTCTGTCAGGATAATTGTGGTAAATCAGAACTTAATGTAAAAATGCATTTATTATTTGGTATTAAGGAAGAAGAAAAAAAAATGCTAGAAAATGCATGGATCAGGAAAACCTGAGTCAAAAAATCCAGTCTCAGCAATTAATTCAGTCTCAGAAATTTATTGACTATGTGACTTGACTTCTGTTTACCTCAGTTTCCCCATCTATAAAGGGGGAAATGAAATAATAGTACCCACCTCTCAGGGTTGTTGGATCATATGATTGTAAAGTGCTTAACACAGTGCCTGGTATATGGCAAGCACTATATAAATGTTAACTATTGTTAATATTATTATTTCTTTAATTAGATGCAATTGCTCTTTACTTGATAACTTTATACCAGGTTTTAGATATGATCAGTGTAAAATGCCAGAAGTGATAAAATAAAGGAATTTCTTGTTTTAAGAATCCATAATACTATTTATGTTGTTATTATGCTTTTAAATTTACTTTTATTGTGGATACTGGGAAACCACTGTATGAGACTACTGAAAATATCTTTTTATCTGGTTACTGTGAAATTATTAATTAAGTTATTAGTGGTTATTATCATAATATAAAAATGTATCAAGTATTTAATTGGGTATATTTGGAAAGGGAAAATTGTTAATTACTTACTGTATGGGAAAAGGTACAAACAAAAGACCTTATAAAATCTTTTTATTTGTGAACTTCCAAGATTTTTTGAGATTGTTTGCTCGGGCTACCTAATAAAATCTTATCAGCCCCACGAAAGATCTTGCTATTGTTGTGAAATTCCTAAACGATGAACTGGTTTTCTGAGAAAATGGGATCCTCTCTTCCATTCCTTGCAAAAACATGAGGGAAATTTTCAAGCCTGCTTATAAGAAAGAGTGAGGTTCATCTAAATCTATTTGCCTATTACCTGTGAAGATTATGGAATTATATCTGGAATAGTACATAGTGAAGTTACATCTTTATCCAACTTAATCTCAACAAACTCTAATCTTAAAGATTTATTTTTGCTTTAAGGGGTGAGTATATAATACCTTAAGGGTCGGATATCTATTAGTCTGGAGGTTGACAGCATCCACTAACAATGAGTCCTGGTAGCTATGTTTTCATGTATAGGATAAGACCCTTAAAGTATCTTCTCCTGCTATAGGGGAATTACCAGGCGTGGAAAAATTTGAGAAAGCAACAAGATCAGACAATTATATATATATATATATATATATATATATATATATATATATATATATATATGGCCTTAAACATGTTATAATAATGTTGTAAAAATTGAGTTCAGGACCTTACATATAAAATTGCACTAATAATTGTAAAGAAGAAAGATAGAAACAGCAAGTAGTATGTAATAACTGATAGTTTCTGAAGTTTCAGGTGAATTATGGGCTCCTAATTGGATGTTCTCATAGCTCCATTGTTAATAAGAACAGAATCATAAGACTTGAACAGATTTTTTTTAACTACATGAATTGGTTATTGTAAAAAGCACATTTAAGATGTTATACTAAATTGTACTGAGCCTAGTTACTGACAGATTTGAATAGAATTACCTAGGAATTTCCACAAGTGTCTTGGAACAGGGAAGCAAGTCCACTGGAAAGAGGCCACTTCAGAGCTGCTCTGGGAGTGAGGCCTACTCCTGAATGTCCAAGGGAAGATGTTGCCAGGGATCAGACAACTACATGGGACATCTGGGACTCAAGATGAAATGTGCTCATTAACTGAACAGTGGGAGTGGGTTACAAGGAGAATTGATGTTATTTAATATTGATGACCACTATTGTGTTTCTTTGGTCTTTTGTTTCATGGTATTTATATTTACTAAATTTTCTTGGTGACCTTGTTGATACATAAATCTCCCCTCTAAAATTAGTACATGGTGAGTCCTCTAAGTGGCCTGCCCTAGTTTACACATAGAGCTTATTTAACCAGGTTTTTCTCCTTGGGGGATACATGAGATTATGATTCTGTACCTAAGTTTATTTGACTTTATAACATTGATGGAAATGTGGGATTATGATTTGTGAAGCTCATGGCCACAGTACATTTGTTTCCTGTTGTAACTTTAAATCCCGTAGCTCACAACCGCTGATGCTTGTTCAAATTGATTAGGCATGAGCAGCAGAGAGCAGGATGGAGCAGTTGAGGATAAAGGAGTGAGCTGAAACCAGTTGTGCTGCTGCACCCTATATATGGTTAGCACCAAATTGGGGAATTATAGAAAGTTATGCTGACTCAGTGATCCATTGTTTCCAGTCCTGCTTGTGAAACACTGTTGGGGGAGGCATCACTCCCAACAGCTACAGTTTTTGTGTTATTATCTGTTATCACTCACATATCAAGTCACCTGCTACCTAAAGAGCTGAGATGCAATGTCCTATCCAATTTTCCTAATGTGGACCTATCTGAAATGTCTTTATTTTGTTGTGAAAGTTATAAATAAATGCTAGCTCCATCTTGGCATTGATGCATTAGTGATCAACTAGTAAACATGTTACTTCTTAGATACAGTTTTAATAAACTTCTTTTCATTCTATTTTTCCCGAGTTTTGCCTCATTACTTAGGGTGAAAAAAAAAAAAGAAAGGGGCAGCAAAGTGGCACAGTGGATAGAGCACCAGCCTTGGATTCAGGAGGACCTGAGTTAAAATTCGGCCTCAGACACATAACACTAGCTATGAACCCTGGGCAAGTCACTTAACCCCATTGCCTAGCCAAAAATAATAATAATAAAATAAAATAAAAAAGAGAATGTTGTAACAAATGGGAGATGAGGTGAGGAGAAGATTGCCAGTAGGAGCAGAGCCACTTTAAAAAAGATTAAGCTAAAGTAACTGAAGAGACATAAGACTGTTCTCAGCAGAAAAGAGGGGGAAAAAATCAATTGAAAAAGCATCAGAGGCAAATGGAAAAAAAAATATAAACCTAATTTTTGAAACTTTAAATGTGAATGGATTAAGCAATTAAATAAAACAAAACAGGGGTAGGAGAGTGAGTGAATAAGAAAACAAGTCTCTACAATCCATGGCTTACAAGAAACATATTTAAAAAACAAAGACATAACAAAATAAAGCTGATGAGATGGGGAGAAATTTACTATGCATCAAGTGAAATCTGAAAAGCAGAAGTAGCAATCATGGCATCTGACAAAGCTAAAAAACAGTTTCAAAATTTAAAAAGGATAAATAAGAACACTATATTATGCTGAAAGGAACTATAGACAAAATAATATCAGTAATAAAATTATATGCTTCAGATACCTTAGCATATGCATTCACAAAGCAAATATTAACTGAGCTACAAGACCACATAGATGGTAACACAATAGTGACAGGAGACTTCAATAGCCTTCTCAGTTATGGATAAATAAGCTTAACAGAAAGTAAACAAAATGAAAATATAGAACTGAATCAATTGCTGGAGAATTTAAAATTAAAGAACTTACGATATTTTCTACATGGGAACACAAAGATTACACATAGATCTCAGTACCTCATAGGCCTTCTAGAAAAACTGACTATGAATTTGAGCACAGAAATATTGGAAAGAAATGTAACAAGGCAGAAATAGTAAATATATCCTTTTTAGAATTTGCTTATGCAATAAAAACAGTCATTGGGTCAGGGACCAAAAAATAAAGACAGAGACCTAAATGAAGTCAGTAGTGAAATCCCAGATAATGAGTGGGTCAAAGAACAAATAGAAACAATTAACTATATGAAAGCAAATGTTCTGAGTTAACATCTGCTTGAGCCTCCCATCTCCATGGCAACACTGTAAGGCTAGGGAACCCAGGAGGAAGGATTATGCTTTGATGATGGCCTCCCTTCTCAAGTTCATAACTGAGGAATAAATTAGGTATTGCAAATAGTAATTGTTTCAATTATTTACTGACATCCCTTTGAATAATTCTTTGTATGTATGTGTGTGTGTGTGTGTGTGTGTGTGTTTCTGTCTATATGTCTCTTTTTCTTTATCTCTGTCAAAGCAAAGCAAAAGTATAAAAACAGTCACTGATTTCAAGGAGCTTAAAATATAATAGTGGATACAGAATGTAATTAAATAGGTATATACATGATACATAGGAAACAGAACAAAGGAGAAGGCTCAGTTAGGTGGAATGAGCAAGGATCTGTAGGTGAGATCTGATCTGAGGCTTGAAGAAAGCCAGAGAAGTGAAGATATGGAAGTGATAAGGCCATTCCAGGCATTTTGATATACTTGCTATTTGCCATAATATTGAAAATAGGCACCCTTCCAATCTTTCAATGATACAAACACTTTTCATAAAAATATTTATCCCTAAATGAGGGGGAGACAGTCTTGAGAAAGAAAATAATAGAGCAATATCCTTGATAAACATGGACACAAGACTTTTAAATAAAATATTGGTAAGTTACAAAAACATATTTGAATGATTAAATGACAAGGTTGGGTTTATGCCAGGAATGTAGGGTTAATTCAATATCAGGAACACTGAGTATAATAAATCATGTTAATCATATAAATAATTAAAACCATTTAACTATGTCAATAAATGACAAAAAAGCTTTTGACAAAATTCAACATTCATTTTTATTACTCTAGAAAGCATAGTAATCAATTAACCTTTCTTTCATATAGTGAACAATATCTAAATCCAAGAGCAAAAATTATATGTAGTGGAGAAATGTTAGAGATTTTTCAAAAAAAAATGTGCAAACTAAGGATGCCCATTATCATCATTACTATTTAATATAGTGCTAGAAAAGCTAGGTGTTGCAATAAAACAAGAAAAAATGAAGAGAATGAGCATAGGCAAAGAGGAAAGAAAAGAATCACTTTTTGTAGATGCTGTATTGATTTACTTAGAAAACCCTAGAGTAGAGGTCCCCAAACTTATATAGCCTACCACCTCTTTTTTAAAAAATTACTCAGTGCCCTCCCTAGAAATCTACTTTCTTTAGCCCTTTAACAGTTTTTTCTGAAATTTGCATCATTTAAAAATATTTTAATGACATTTTAAATTTAATAATTTATTGTAAATTTGTGGAGGTTTTTCCTGCATTGAAATTTTGATGATGCAATATCATTCCATGTAACCATATAGTATTGTATTATAAACAAGTCATTACACACACATATTCCTGCCCATGCATGCTGGACTTCCCAACAATGTGCAACATGCTCACCTGCCAATACTTGCTTGTTAAGACCTGTCAGCAGGCTTGACCATTGATATGTT